TTTTTGTGTAACTAAATTCATAATTTCGATTCATGGATTTAAATTATTAAAGTATTTCCATTGTTTTAAAGTATTTCCATTATCTTAATTTTGTATCCATTTGATCATCATAAACTCCTGAATTATGATTTATAATATTAACGTAGTGATCAACAAATTAATCACTTGACACCTCAGATCACTTGATTTCATTCAATTTAGTATCTTTCGGATCCTCATTTATCCTTAAATCTCGTGACTAATAGTTTAAGGTCATCACGGACCAATTACTTTAATCCATGCGATTATTAGTTTAAAGACTTCTCGGTCCAATTATACTTGATTCTCATGACTAATAGTTTAACGACTTTTCGGTCCGATTAAAATAAAAATAAAAATAAGTTAAAATTTTATACACTAAGACTAAATGTAATACTGCGCCTCACAATTAATAAATTTACTAGGTATACTACGGCATTACACCGTAAAAGACTCATATTTCCGAAATTAATAAACTTATATCACGAAAGGCTCATTTTACGGGGTTTTACAGAAATAACGGATAAATTTTTTATAGGGAACTTTTTGATTTTATTCTTGTTTTGGCCTTTTTGAATTAATTACTTGAGTATTCAGAAATGCCGTTTCTACTGTTTCAATAGTTTCAATATTTGATATTTATTCCTCATTTTTATTGACCATATCTTTTTCATTATCATGTGCAGTTTGTTGATTCATATTTAGAAAATCGCAACTGTTTAAAAAAAAAAAATTGTTAAAATATCATATTATTTACTGAATACTCTTAAATTATTAAAACACAACTTTTTAGCCTGATTTAAAATATTCGCATTGATTTCAGAGAGAGGGCTTGAAATGCTAATATTTTAAATTTACTCATCTATTATTTCTGATGAGGAAGAACAATCTAATTTTTGTTTACTAGTTTTCTCATATGGTGTTTTGAAATGAAAATTTTATAAGAAAAGTTTAAATAAAGCTTATAATGTGAATTAAAAATAACATAACAATGAAGTTATTTATTTATGTTGTTGTGCTAGCTATATAAGTCAAAGGACTGAATGATTGGATGAAAATTGACCACGTAGTAGTGGCCAATTAATAAAGAGCTCTAGCTCTGTATTATTATAAAATGCAAAAAATATTTCTATTGTATTTTTCAATGATATCTTTTTTAATACTGTTTTTTATTCACGTTAAGTATTATTCGATGAGTTAAAATATCGTAGTTACCTTATCGCGCGTATAAAGTATATAGATCATCTGCCAAATTTGCACGAATAAAGCCTTTACAATTAAAAATACCGATTAAAAATACGCAAATAATAACTGACCGGTCGCTTATTAATTATCGACCAGGCATTTGATGTGCGACAAAATACGTGGTTGAATAAAAATCTTTTGATCGTAACGGATAGTTCAACGAATTTTTAGATTTCATGATATAATAGCTTTTGAGTTTCTTTAATAAAAATAAATAAATATTAATTGTGTTTTCTTGAGAGATAGAAAAAAAATTTATCTAAATTTGTAGTTCATATTGGTAAATTAGGAATCAAAAAAAAAAATTTAAAATTTCTCTGATTTTTTTCTATATACTTGGTTTTAACTAGATTAAAATAATAATTTATTAATTATGTAAATCTCCAACGAATGCATGTTGTCATCTATCATCTTTTGTCATCAAAGAAATGACCAATATCTAAAAAGCATTTTTAATTTATCTAAAGAGCATTGCTGATTTGTCTAATAGTTCTAAAAAGGCGTTCAGTTTAATTTATCTAGAAGAGCGTCTTTGATTTAACTAATAGTACTTTTTAATTTAATTATCTAAGAAAGTGCTTTTTACTGTAATTTAACTAAAAGCGCTTTTGAGATTTATCTAAGAAAGCGTTTACAATTTACCTAAAAAAATCGAAAAAATTGTTTTGGATTAAAAAAAAAATCGGAATTTTAGTCCGAAGTGAGGACTATATACTTCTCTGTCTGCCCAGCACGTGACGATGTACAGCAATAAGACTTTCGATTTCCCGTTTCCTAGTTTATTAAAAAAAAATGCGTTTGATAACTTTTGGATGAAAAAAAAAATTTTTTATCTAAAAAGTGCGTTAATACTGCTGAATTGTCGGTTTATATAATTATCGATATATTTATTATACGGTTTAATGAAAGTATTGTTATTAGAAATATCAAATCATTTTATATCCGAAATGGAGTAAATTTTTTGAAATGTGGTAGGTAATAATCGGATTTTATTGAATAAGTGTAGGGTAAAATGAGGAAAAAAAGTGGTAGGATCTTTTATAGGTAAATTTTTGTGATGTTTAAAGTGGTTATGTATCAGGATTTATATAAAGTATATACGGTATAAAAAAGTTAAAATTTAATTGAGTTGCAGAGCATATAGTACGATTTTCAAATTAAGACGTTAAATTTTTTCATAATCATTTATCGCCGTTTTCAAAATGATGTGCGTAGTTAAATTTGAATAAAAAAAAAAGAAAACTGAAACCCGGACGAAAACCGGACAAAATATGGACAAAAAACGGATGAAAACCGGTATTTGAATATACAATTACAAATAATCTACGTACACCATTTTGAAAACGGCGATAAATACTTATAAAAAAAATAATCTCATAATGGGCTCAAATTAAATAGATTTCAAAATTCCCAATAGACTTTATTAAAAAAATCCTTACTAAATTATTTCCAAATACTAAATAAAGAATTTTTTGAACTAAGAGTTTGAAATAGAACGCATTTGTGGTTGGTTATGTTAGTATTGTTCAAAACCAAATTGTTACTAATCTGGCTTGGGTAAATTCAATGTATTTTTAGTATTGTTACCACTGATTTATGACGTTTGATAGGTAGTAACAGAAATAAATATAAGGATCGGTTAATGGATGATAAAGTAATATGACGATATGTAACAAGTGGTAAGGTAAATAATGATATAGATAATTAATGATATATAATAAAGGTTAATAAACGATAACTATAATAATAGTTAATAAAATATATACGAATAATCAACGATGTATATCGAATAATTAGCAAGTGATAATAAAAAAAAACAATGATAATAAACGATATGAAACAATGTGATAAAATGTGATAAAACGTGTATAAATAATTCGTTAATAAAAAAAGTACAATATTACTGCCTCAACCGGCGCTCTGTAATATCCGGATATCTATCTTATAACAATAAAACTATACGAATTCTAAACTGAACTAGAACTTTATCTTCCAACATCGGCCCTTTATATAACGTTAAATTTTTAGGACGAATCTGTCCTTCGGACATAATTGTCTCCCGGCCAATATCGTCTCCCGGCTAATTGTGGCGATCTGGGCACGTTTGTCTATACAGCCATTTATATTCAGCCACTTATATTCAGCCACTTTACATCGCTCTTTTTTTATCTAATCTATAAACAACTAAAAACAACTACAGGTAATATATCTAAAAATAACTAAAAATAACTAAAAGATAAAAATAGAATAAAAAAATAAAAATAAATAAAATAATAAAAAAAAATATCCCGTGACAGTGAGTATGCATAAAAGTAGTGAAACGATCCGTGCCGTACGTACTCATAAAAAATTTAATTCTCTACACATTATTTTATGCCGACATTTAAAACATATGATTTGCGCATCTTTTTTTCATATCTTTCTTATCAACCCTAAAATGAAATGTTGATGACTTTCATTCTTTCCAAAAATAATAAAAAGAATAAAAATATATAAATTTATTAGTTTCTACTAGCGAAAAAAAATATAACTATTTTGAGATTCATTGAAAGTTACAGTTATATATAAATTGATATATGTACAATGCCCGGTAATAAGTTACAGGTTACCTACAAATTAGTACAATTTGTGTCAAATGTACCCCTGTAAAAACTTTTTTTTAAGCGTGTCTTTAAGGAATAAGTAAAGTTACACAACTGCAAAAAATTGATCGTTATATTTGAGGGTTAATTTGAAAAATAAAGAATTTAATAAAAAAATAAAATCAGTGAAATATGTGGAATATGTGGAATATGCACATTTGACTGGCTTTTCAATCATTTGCAGATTATTTCCGTTCCTATTTTTTTTTTTTAAAAAAAAAAATTTAAGTTTTAACTCTTTATTTCTAACTTTTAATTATAACCAAATTTTAAGTACATAATTTGTTCTTTAGTTTAACAATATATTATATAACGATTAATAAAATTTTATAGTAGGATCAACTTTAGGTTTTAAAATTATAGTGACCAGCCAGGCAATGTAGATCTGATGTGATCGTGACGGATAGTTTAAAAAATTTAGCTTCTAAAATTCTTTTTTTTTTAAAAAAAAAATAAAGTGAAATAAAATATGACAAGTGTCCACTCCTTGAAAAACGCAAACATCATGCACTCGTTTGGGTTTCCGAACGTAATATATTTTTTTAAAATAATTAATAAATCATTATTTTGATCTAAAAACAAGCATATAAGAAAGCACTATTGAAATTAATTAATCCCATAATTTACGCAAAGTATAGATTTTTTGATCCTATTCTTTCAAATTATATACATATATAGTATGTAGATGATCCTATTGTTCTCTTTTTATAATTTGCGTAATTCTTAATAGACCATTAAACGAGATCTGCCTAAAAGGCAGTGATAATGATTTCCGATTAAGGTTATATTTGGCATTGTTTTTTTTTGATGTAAGAATTATATTATTTTATGTTATCATATTTACAATTCAGAGCTGGTTTTTTTTTTCTTTCAATTATAAAAACATGAAGGATCGGACAAAAAAAATTTATATAATAACCCTCCTTTTGGAGGTTAACCTAGATATTTTTTTTAATAACGAAAAAAAATTTTTTCAATTTTTTTTTGTACACTTCTCTATTCTAAATTATTTTGATTCAATCGAATAGAAAATCAATAAATGAATTTTTTAATTTGTTAATATTTCGGGGGGAACAAAACCAAAAAAATTTGTAAATACTTTACGTACAAAATAATTTTTCATAAAGAGAAAATAATGGAACAACCGTCAGTCACTTGTTTTGCCACTCAATCTGTTGACTATCTCGCTCAAACTCACGATCCAAAGACTTTAAAATGGTAAGTTTTAAGGAATATATAAAGAAAGAAAAAATTTTTCACTAGAAATATTTGTAAGCGGAAGGTACAGTGCGACAACCCTCTTTTGGCATTTGAAATTATTTCTCTTTTTAATTTTATTCATTTTCTTCTACTACTGTTTTAGCAGTTCTTCTCAATATCAGAGACAACGAGAACAATGTCTCACAAATGTAGCTAAAACTCAATCATCATCATATGTGCCACGATATAATCGTTCTCTTCAAAATCGCAGAATTCAACGAAAAATAAGACAATCAAGAACGATGAATACGTCGTATATATTGAATTATTTTACACAGTTTCCTATACAAAACACCAGCAACAATCCATTTGCAAACCAAATATTTAACGGAATTAATTTCTAATAAGTGATGGTGTTGTTAGCGTAAACCATGGCGCAGTAAAAAAATCACTTGGTGGCAAAGAAAAATTTTGATTTTTATATTATTTTTCTTTATATAAATACGGTATCTTTTTTTCATAAGTTAAAGTAAGTCATTTTATAGAAAGCGATCTTGATGGTGGTTATAGCGTGGGTTGTAGTTTTAGCTTAATTATTATATAGTTAGTTTCATTAATACACTGATTTTTTTTTAGCTTTGATGTAATGTTTAGATTCGAAATATTTATACGTCTTTNACAAAAAAAAAAAAAAAAAATAATAACTTCGTAATTTTCATAATTTTGTGAGTACATTTTGCTATGTAAAAATATCAAATCATTTCATTCTTAAAAAAAGAAAATTGAATACATATGTTACGAGGTTAACCATAGTATCAGATGTATCCAAGCAGATTAATATTCTAAAATTTCCTTGTTATGATCTCTAGCGCAAAATGTGACAATTCGATAATTTTTATAATACTAACAAATTTAAAATGCAGTTCTGGTTGACAAAATCTTAAAATATATGATATATCATTATGTTACGCATTTGAAATAATGTGATAATGTTGACAATGCCATTATTAATTAACTTCAAATTTCAAGTTGAATTTTTTATAGTGTTCTATCTTTATTCGTAAAAATATATAAAATTGTTCTAGTAAACAAGTATAAAAAAAAAAAAAAAAAAAAAAAAAAAAGAATCAAAGAAATAAACATAAATTATTTTTATATTAGATTATCTTAGATTGCATCATTATATAATAATGGAATTAATCTACTGTAACAGTAGATTAATTAGTGTTACCACCGGTTTCCGTCGTTCGGTAGGTAGTAACAAAAAGAAATATAAGGATCGGTTAATAAAGGGCAGGGTAATATAGCGATATATGATAAGAGGATACAAGTGCGTGCGGGTAAACGATAATGAACGATTATAGAAGATAATAAGTGATGTGATATGTTAATAAGGGTAGATCGGGTGGTGTGTGTATAAAGATAATTAATATATAACAAAAATCAACAAATGGTAATAAATGATAATGATAGTGAACGATAATAAACGATAATAAACAATAATAAACAGTGTAAAAAAAAATGTATATGAATAATACGGAAATAGATCGGCGGTTTATTAACAATTAAACAAGATACGATATTACTGCCTCCCTCGGTGCTCTGTAATATCCGTATATTATCAGATGATAATAAAACTAAGCTTATACTGAATTCTAACTGAACTAAACTTAGAACTATCCTAACTGAACTTCCAATAACGGTCCTTTTTATAATGTTAAAATTTTGGTACAATTCTGTCTCTTCGAACAGAATCGCCATTCGGCCATTATTCCCGGCCAATTGTGGCGATCTGGGCACATTTGTCTATACAGCCACCTATATTCAGCCACCTTTCTATCGCTAAGCTTCCGTTTGTTATCTAATCACTAAATATCTAAAAATAACTAAAAATAACTATACTAAAATAATCAAATAAAAAATAAAAGATAAAAATAGATAAAAAAATCAAAAAAAATTATCCCGTGACAATAGCATTTATTGAAAAAATTCAGTCACGTGTTATTGTGTTATTTGTCCAAATCACATGTTTGCTATTTATTTTCAATTTGAAAGCCAGTCCAAGTTCTCGGCTCTCGGCACAAAATTTAATCAGCTGTAAATCAAATGTAACTCCGAGTTGGTTAATGTTGAAATTTGATAGTAGGACCTTGGTCATATAAAATACGGGAGAAAGAAAATGACGAGATTTGGAAAAATTTTACCCAAAAACTTTCAGGTTTTGTACCTACTTTTCTACATACATTTACCCAAACTTATACATACCAGATTAGTAAAATTTGGGATTTGAAGTTAAAGTGCTTATATGTGCATACATATATATAAGTGTTGTACCGTAACTGTACGAAAAGCAAAAAAAAAAAAATTTCGTACAGTACAGCTTAATTCTCAGACAGCTTAATTCTTAGACTAACTTTTTAGCTTAAAAAATTTCATAAATATACTTAAACTAAAACACTACAAATTTATAGTGTCGTTGAAAATCTTATTACGATTTATTGGATAATTAACAAATCCGAAATCAAAAAATTTTATAATTATTTATTATTAACAGTACTAGCAGTAAAAGACGCAAAGAAGGTAACCTAACGATAACAATGAAAATGAATCACAATGGAAAAATGCACCAATAATAAAGGAGACAATAACAACAAATAAATAATGAAAAAAAAGCAAAGGGAATAAAAAGAAATAAAGGTAAGGGAAATAGAAAAGAAGAAAGGAACGAGTGAAGATAAAGTTAGAGACATAGGAGGAGAACAAATGGATAAGTAAAGGAATAAAAAGGGAACAAAGAAAGATAAAAGAATAAAAAGGAATGAAGAAAAGGATAAAAAGAATCAAAGGGAATAAAAAAAAATAATAAACGGATTAAAAGAAAATGAAAGAAAGAATGAGAATAAAGAAAGGAAGATGATGATGAACAAAATAAAAGATAATGATAATGAATAATATGAAAGAGGATGAAGAAGGAATGAAAATAAAGAAAGGGGAATAAAGATCAAGGACGAACCCATAATCAATAAAGATTAAGTACGAATCCAGGAAAAAACCATAAAATCAAGGAAAGATCAAGAAAAGATCAAGAATCCATAAAGATAAATGACAAAAGGAAAGAAGAAAGAAAATTAGAAACAAAATATAAGAAACAAAAACAAAAAAAAAAAGAAATAAGAAAATTAAAACAGAGTAAAAAAATGAAAACAGAATTTACCTTTGACCACTAAACAAGAAAAATTTAAGAACTAAAAAAAGGAATACAATGATAAGATTAGTAATAATAAGACTAAGGCGAAACAAAATTAAAGAAAAAAACTATCACTTCACCAGTATACTTGTTCGGAAAAGCACATTTCTAAAGGAAAAAAAAGGACGAAGGTTAATGCAAAAGAGCAAAAAAGCAATTATTAATTAATGTTTTAAAAATATTAACTTTCTAAAATATTAACAAGGTAAACCGTACGGTACAGTTCATATGTATACTCGTACTACCGTATCACACTGCCTATAGTATCCCCCAAAGTTAGTACCCCACGTTTGTAAGTCCCGGGTATTTACTAGATATAAAATTTTTACTCTCAATTAGTACCTCCCTTAATTCTGGTAACTTTAGCTTAATTCTGGTTAAAACTATTATGTACCCCCCCTTATATTAATACCCGGTATCTCACAAAGTACCCACGGCCCACGGGTATTATGTAATTTTTAAATCAGGTATTAAGTATTTTGTATAATACCGTGCAGTGCGGTACGGTATTGCTCTATGCCGGCTGTAACTCAACTAAATTTTTATACTGCATATACTCTATATAAATCCTGATATTTTGCCCAATTTATAACATAGCGTTGAAAATCACAAACTTACCATAGAAAATCCTACCACTTTTTTATTACCTTACCTTTCAAAAAAAAATCAATAGTTTATCGCTAGAAATGATTAACCGAATTTGACTTGATTATAATGATTTTTTTCTTGATTATTTATGTGAAACATGTGAATTGCGCATTCTTTTTTCATCTTCTTATTAACTCCTAAAATTGTTTCACAGAATGCATTCAAAGAATGAAAATACACCTATTTTGAGATTTATTGATTTTTTTTTTAATTTATCTTAACAAATCCTGATAGTGATATGCAATGAAAAATATATATGTAAATTGATCAATGTACAGTGTCACCGCCAAATTTTGATTACAATTGCCTTTATGGGATTAGTGAAGTTACACTTTGCTATGAAACATTGTCGATCAGATTATCAATTTTTTTTAAAATATTTGCTATTTCTAATAATTTATAACTAAATTTAGTTTAATAATAGAAATATTTTTTAACTTAGTTATGTATGTAATAACTTTCTGACATATAATGATAATATATTATATTAAAAAAAATTAAGTATATTATTTTGATAATAATAATAATAACTAAAATTTCTATTAAAATTTTTTTCAAAAATATAACGATTAAATTTTTTGTAAAATTTTATAAATTTACAGTGGGGATCAACTTCTCTTATGCCATAAAAAGACAGGTCTTGCGTAATATTAGTTTGTTAGGTGGTCCGGTTCAGTTTATTACCGAGCATTCCGAGCAAAGATCTGTGCAATGGTAATCTTTTAATTGTAACGAATAAAATTTTAATATGACATCAGGAAATTTTTTAAGGGAGTATATGCCGATGAAAAACTCACGTGATATATATCAATAAAAATCGCACTCGTCGAGTAATTTCGATATTGTTAAACAGTGATAAATATCATTATCTAACTTTAACCCAATCGATAATTATCAAAATACGATTAAGTGATAAATATCATTATTTGACCTAACCGATTATTTAACCAAAGTGATATATATCGAAAATATTTAATTGATAATCATCAAAAAATACTTATTACATTTATTAACGATAAATAATTACTAAATAACTAATAGAAAAATAAAAATAAAAAATATTCATTACAAATAATACAACATATCACTAAGCATAAAAGTATACTCAATATCGAAAAATTACTTCTTGAGGGAAGCTTAAAGTTGTCCATGATCTTTATAAATACTTAGTCACTATGATCAAATAATTCATTGAAATTTTGTTCATAAGCTTTCTCTGAACGAGGCTCCTCTTCATTATCTTTCTCAACTACTACTTTCTTTTTCATTTCTGGGATTTCTTCTTGTAATATTGATATCGAATCATCAAGTTCAATAGATTCATTATTTAAGAGTGAATCCTAAAATATTAATTTAGAATTATAATTGAAAAACTTGATAATTTCAATTTTAATTAACAAAAAAATCACCTTAAATTTTTGAAAACGTCTTTCCAATGGTTTTCTTGCACATTCTATATCCGGATAGTTAGAATTTAATACAATATCACACACAGATGCTGTATAAACATAAATATCGTTAAATAATAATTCATTGACGTGAGATAAGGTTGGAAATGCTTGTTTCGCAATATTCTCTAT